TCAATGTATGATCCTTATATCTTACCAGGAGATTCCGTAATTTTGTATTTAAATACAATCGGTTGTTCCCAACTATGTCCTCGTTCACAACAATACTTATAATCGTGTTGTCAAAAATGATTTCTGTTCAGCATTTTGGATACTGTTTATCATGCATGAGTTTTCCAACTAACGTCACATTATTAGATTTCATTTTGGGGTACAGATCTAATCGTCTATCAGCAAAATAACTAATCCTGACTCTTAATTTGTTAAAAAAACACAACTGTAGATTAAACACCTGCCCGTAGTGGTATTCTCACTGTAGATATTCCTCTGAATGGCTCCACACTCCCTATCATTCCGTAAGAAAAATCGAAAGAGAATAGAATGAATGGATTATAGTGGCGAAATCTAGAAGGTATGCTTCGTCCCATTCGGTACTGGATGTACCTTTCACAGTAACACTTAAACTAAATACCTTTCGCTTCAAACGCCGGTGTTACCTTCTCAACTATCGAGACTCAATCACCAACTTGTCTTAAATCTGATCCCTGATAGATCGTGCGTGAGCTCTCCTGAGGACAAGACACCTGCTAAATGGTTGCCCAGCTGAGGTAGGTTAATCATTTAAACTTTACAAATACCCACCTTGTGACATTTTGATAGTCCACGAAATGTAATAAATAATAACTGCCACATGAGGTGATTTGGAATCGTTTTTCTATACAGATAAATCTACGAAATCCATTGAAAATCAGTATCAAACACTTAACATTGAGCCGTTACATTACGACCTACTAACAAATCAATAAGTAGATTGCACCTTACTAGACAATTAGATTAATCGAAAAATCATAACCTAATTCCCGATGACTTACTATTTGTTAGTCAACAATGTATGCCAAATTAAAACCAAATAAAAGAAAGCCCACAACAACTCAAGTACATAATGACATCTGTTTCGACAAACTTATAATACTATTTTAAAAGATTCTGTTATGTAGTACTTAAATGGTACTGCTTGTACACTTAACACACAATTGAAGTCATATAACTACTACGATTATAAATATGTATGGTATTTGTTTTTCTACCAAGTAAACAAAAGGAATAGTGTGTGTCCTCGAATTATTTACTCTCAGGGTAATTTCCGTACAATATGTTGTTGTACTTTATACCATAAGTGTTAGTTAGCAAACTTTTGACGTTATACTTAGAATCAGACTGAGAACATTTAGATCATATTGATGGCAATAGATATGTGGTCTGTAAACCCGTAAATCTCACGCTTGGGTTCACTCTATGGTGTGTGACTGTTGCATAGTAGGCCAAAATGATGCCTAATGGCCGCGCGATAATTTATTTCGAGAGCCAATTGTAATCCTAACAATCTTGATCACTATTTTAATAATATATGCATTGTACTATCCTCCCTTCTATGCTAGTCAGTTGACGAATGTTCAAAATGCATTCAAATCATTCATTTAGTCGGATGTTAATGAAAATCCGGCTATAACATCTGCAATTATAACAGTATCATTTCGAAATCACACAAACGTCCTGTAACTGTGATCTATCATAGGTTGACCAGAAGTGAAGGGGAGTCTAAAATGTAGTTTAGTAAATATCTCCATGGGAAACCAAGGTTCTCCCTGCTAATGCTAATTACTTTTCATCACACTCTTCAGTTTGTTACATATCCTAGTATGGAGATCAAACAGATGGTAATCGAGATAGAATCTAGCCGCCCCATTTTGTGTAACCGATACATGTTGATGCTGTAAGTTGATTTCTAGAGAAGATCAAACCGTTCAGTTTTATTAATGAAATATTGGCATTAGCTCCAACTTCGGTTTATCTTTTGTAGTGGCCTAACCAAGGTACGTTAGCTGAAGTACATGTGTCCCTAGGTCATATCATCTTAAGTATATAGACCAAAGAACGGGTTGCTTTAATTAGACAAAATACGAGAAAATCTCTTGATCAAAAGGATTTCTTCTAACCCCGAAAAAATTTACTTCCCGATTTACTTTGAAGCAAAATTAAATAATCCACTGACCTTTGGTTAAAAAATTTATGATCAGGAAGTGTTCTTTAGCGTTTCTGGCATTCCGTATATCATGACCAGCATTTATTAAGAACTAAACTCAGATACAATTGAAGTCGATTTAACTATGACTAACTAGGACCTAGAACATTTAAAACAGCGATTTCGTAGGTTAGGTGAGGTATACTTCATATATCTTTAGAGGAAAGCGCTAAATAAACACTTTAAGAGAGTGTGGTATATCATCTTACATATATTTATATCTGGTTAGATTTCACAGCCTGTGATAATAAAAAGGATAATACGTTAGGTTTGCCATTGAAAAGTCTTTCACATGACTAAGTACTAAGACGGATTATTTCAAATCAGGTTAAACTTGACCATTTTCTTTGTTTGTTTTAATATCACTAAGTAATAGCCACTTTAGAATACTTCCAAGGCGAACAAAAAACGTTCCGGTAACGCAGTAAAGGTGACATGGTTGAGATGTTTGTCGGGTTTTAAAACTCAGTAATATAGAATTTCGTTAAATTTACAACACAATCCAATCTCTGTTACAGACCGTCACAAAGTATTTATACTTTTTGCTACTTGTTACTAGAATTTCTTATCGAACTATGAGAAATCTACCTCCCGGTCAGTCATAACCAGAGTAGAACCTGGCACATTTGCATTGGTTCAAGCTGTCATATCACCTTCGAAGTGCAAAAGTACTTCTACAAGAGCGGCAGGATTCTAACCCTGCACTCACCCTGGATGGTGAGCAGATAGAAGTAGTCGGGAAGTTCGTGTATCTAGGTAGCTGCACAAGTGCTGGTGGAGGTGTGAGTGGTGAGACCAATGCACGTATAGTGAAAGCCAGAACAGCTTATGCCAATCTGGGCCACCTTGGCGCCTTCGTGATGTCAGTCTGGCTGTAAAAGGTCGGATCTACAACGCGTCGGTGAGAGCAGTTTTGCCCTATGCTTGTGAAACCTGGCCTCTCCGAGCTGAGAATGTTAGACGACTCTCTGTGTTTGATCATCGTTGTCTCCAAGGGATTGCTGACATCCATTGGCAACACCATGTTAGTAATGCAGAGGTTTTGCATCGAGTGTTCGGGTGCAGAAACGATAATCCAATTGATGTCACTATCTTGAGACATCGACTTCAGTGGCTTGGACATGTTCTACGGATGTCGTCCCAGAGAATTCCACGTCGTGCATCACTTGCCGACGCTGGAACTAGTTGAAGGCGGAAAAGTGGTCAGTGTATGACATGGTTTCGGGGTATGAAAGAAAGCTGCAAAGGGCTGGCTTGTGTTGGTCGTTCAAGACTCCCTGCCCGGGGTCCTTGAGATGGTGCAACACAGTGGCTAGATACGTTATCAGATATGGCTCAAAATAGAAGCCAGTGGCGATCCTGCTGTAACATTCTTGTACTTTCTTCATAAAAGGTGGTTGGAACTTCCTTAACTGAAAGATTTTTTCTGGTTGCACCTTTCCGTTTCCCCCATTATTATTATTGTTATTATTATTATTACACTTCCTTACGTTAATCTGTTCTTTATTGTTCATCTTCTTTTTTTCGTTTGCGCTCCTTACCTTTTTATCTCCCCATTCTCATTGTTTCGTGTGGCGCATTTATATTTGGTGCCCTCTTGTACCAACATTTGTGTTCAAATAAATAGTCATATCACCTTAAATGACACGGCACAAAATCGTTTGCAATGGCGCAGGTGCATACACTCTTTGTGTTCTCCCAAATTCTAATCTTCTGAATTCTTCATGTCCCTTTTTTTCTCTTTCCCAATTTACTTCACCAGATTGTACTTCTTGAATAATACGTTCAAACCCTAATCTTTCCGATTACTGTTTATACCCTTACTACCTCTACAACTACGGGATTTGAATCGACAACTGCATCTCTGTGCTAATGTGGCATGGCAACTCGAACTGATGTACGTACGTACGAAGTTCTACGTTGTTACTGACTGACCAATTGGAAGTCACATCACATTAACACAGTGAGATAAATCCTATGATAGTAGATGTAAGGACAGCACCACTTGTAATAGAAAAGGTTAGATATGGGAGGAAGAAACCATGAGGATTTGGGACTCAGGATCTGAAAAATTACAATATGACCAATTCTAATCTATATCATCCAAGGTCTCTAAGCACTGGTTATGTCAATCACAAGGACTCCAATCAAGTAGTCTCAACATGGGATAAGTGAAGTGATTGATACACCCAACTATTTATTTCCTTACCGTTAGTTTAGACTGATGCAGGCCGGTCCTGACCTTTAAATTATTCACTAACTGTCATTTACATCGGGAAGCGTATATCAAAAAACAGGGTAACAGCCCAAGCAAGGTCAACAGAGGCAATGCTATTATTGTCTCATAAGTTCTCGAGGAAATGCTGGTACGTGTTGATAAAGTCCTTGGTTTCGTTATTTGCAATGAATAAAGAAATGTGCCATTGAGGTAAGTATAAATTGCGCTGTTTAATACGACTGTATTCCACATAAGAGGGTGATTGCTAAAACACTTAACCAGTCACTAATAAAATATGACATGTAACGGGTGTGTTTTGGTTCACGTTGCCAATCCTTAGAGCAAAACAGTGTGAAAAATAATTTACATGGAATCAAAGAAAATAATCATACCAATTTGTGCAGAAAACCGAGTAATATAACTAATTTTAAAGGAAGGGAAAAACATGGGATGAAATCAAGATGTACAGTTAAATGGGGAACGAAAGCAACCGCAACCAATTTTGCGTTGCGATCTATGATTTTGGAAATTGATTACAACCACTAAGCGGGTCCCAACCAAGTAACTCGCTCCTTCTAACAGGCTTCAGACTAACAATCAGTGACTTGATGAATTATCGGTCTTTGTTTAGCCGCTCTTAGCTTTATTCCAACCAACTCGGAGTACGCAATAAAGGTTTACAGCCACCTCAGCCAACGTGTGTTTTCCGATGAAGTCATTTTATTTAATCAGAAATATGTCTAATACACGTTTTGTGTGAGGTGTCTTTCACTATTGAAATGGGTCTTCCGTGGTTAACAGTAAGACACATAAGTCACTTGTTACAAAAACCAATTGAAGAACCACCGGACAAAACGCTAGAACTGTGATTCTAAATATTTACAAATTACAATGACAAGTACGAGTAATCCCATAAACATAGATGCTATTGCCATGAAAAACATAGAACGCAGTAACTTAATAATTTGATTCGAACGATTACTTTCGAAACAACTGACTGAATGGTTATTCAAGTTATTCTAGCAGTTGAGCTACATCACTAATCTATATAAAATTGTTAGCTGAATCTATCTTGCAAGCTCCAAATAATATCACAAACTATTAACGAAATTGAGTTAACGTATTAGTAATGAAACTATTGGGATGATTAAAAGTGAAATTGGTACAGCATATACGAGAATACACAGGGAATGACGCTTCTCCTGATGAGCGACCCAACACACTACACAAAAAGAACTCTGATCATGTTTTTCGTATATTTGGGTCTTATCAGGCAAAACCAAGTGTTAGAGGTTGTAGTTTGATGGAATACACTATGGAGTATTTGAATTAAGAACTAAACTATGCCTCAGGACGTTCTGGAGGAGGGCCACATGGCTGAAGCATTTTCTCGAGAAGGTTAAATCGAACTCTCGCCTTGCACTCATTTTCGCATATAGCAAACAAGTTAAGTGTGTCGAAGTGACCCAGATAGGATGCACAACTATCTCTATGCTGGTTTGTTAGCCATTCCCACTTGGTGGTGTCAGCATGACCTGTACCTAAAAGAAAAAGAATATTAATCGCATCAGAATGTGACGTACCAACATATTTCGACTGCAAATGTTCTAACTGGGTATGAATATTGTATCGATCACCCATTTCCAGAGGTATATTACTTAATCTATAACAACTTAAAAACAAGGTACCGGGAGAAACGCAAACACTTGAGCATGGCGGGGTACTGCGAGACACAAACTTTATTTAACAGAATGGTTCAAATGTATACTACATATTATCTTATCTTGGAGAGCCAAAAAGCAAACTTTTCACTGGGACCACAGTTCGGGTAATAGAAGAGAGCGTTCTTGATCACGGAACTGACTGATTCTTTTATATTCCTTGTGGAACTTGATGAGCATGAAAGAAATCAGTTTATAGTGGAAGTGGACTTGAAGTATAACCTAGATCAGTCAGACTTGGTACCCATGGAACTAAAATAAGTGTCTAATATTCCTTTGAACGACTCTCAAGAAACCGCCGTTACCATTATTTTTAGCGTAATATATCACAGCTTGGTGATTCTAGCCAAGAAAACGTTTGTGCGGAACTTTGTTCGAACTCGTTTGCATACTGTTTCCAAAGAATATTCTCTGAAGTCTGATTTGTTACCCTAGCATATTCAAGCTCTGTTTTGGACATTTCCGAACCGATATTTTATGGTTCTATTTTCCCATGTCTTTCTTAATACACAGGTCACAAATTCAAAGCTTTCAGGAAAGCTGAACAGAAGTTGTTCATTAGTTCAGGAAACTTTCAAGTTTCTCGCTTTTAGACTCGTCCCAGGACATCAATTTTCCTCCAAACGTGGGGAGATATAATGTAGAAGTTCCGAATAAGACTTCAACTGGGCAGTGAAAACGGTTTAAAATAATTTGAATTTAGGCTATTGAAAGAGACCTCGGGAGTGGATAAGCTTTATTGGTTACACAATGTCAATAGAAAGTAAACACGTAGACTTTCATGTATAAAAACACTCAGATCCTTTTCATTGGTGAGGAGTACGATAGTGGAATCTTTTGAAACGTATGGGATGGCCAGAACATTTTTAGTATTTACGAGTGAAGTTCTGCATATATAAGTATTAAAGGTTGGCTTTATTTGGTAAGGTTGTGTCTCTTACATCAATCATTCAGCTGCAATGTAGGATCAGGACCAACTATTCATCAGCCCAAGTTGCCATACCTCATCACCACGACAAGGTGAACATCGGATTCATAGAAGTAGTTACCTCAATGGTAGAAATATATAAAAGAGAAATTGTGTATAAGGGTATAGTAAGGAAGAAAGAATTAGTCCGCAAAAAGAAAGATACAGAGCGACTTTATTCTCATGGTCTAAGGGGAGACAGAGAGTGTATACATCGACGCCATTGTGATCGATTCTGAGCCATTTCACACAGTCTCCAACCATTGGTTACGATAGTCACGTGGACCTCAACCAAGTAGTCTGTAACAACTTAGGTTGGTTGGTTAGGAGTTCACTTCAAACAACTAAGCGTATGTCAAAACAGTATAGTTCAAGTATTCATTCACTTCCTTATTTTGTGTAGGCGTTATGTTTCCTATTATCTTGTGTTGAATGTTGAGAGGCTTTGTTTATCTGAACAAATAATCCCACGCTCCACTGTGACAGCGCGAAGATCTAAATAAAGACCTATTCACTACTTGTCTGGTTTTTTCTATCAACATCACGAGTATTACCTAGAGGCACGAAACTGGTGAGCCCTACTGAATACAAATTTAACCTCATTTTGTTATTAATATTATGTTTTTATTTAGTCGCAAAAGTAGACCTTCTGATTATCCGTAAACTAAGTTGTGCATATACATAGTTTTTTTATCTTGGGGTATTCGTTATGTAGTACCCTTTTTTGCTAATTTCATTACTATATTGGTCACATAACTCATGTCAAACTCAATACAAACCCAAAACCTGGAGGATTTGTCACCAGTGGAGATAGACACTGTTATGACTACGAAATCCCGACTTCCAGTGATCCTGAGTTGTGGTTTGCTCAACTAGAGTATTATTTCACGAGACACAATATCAAATCTGAAGGGATTCGCTATAGAAACTTGTGTTCTATCATTCCTCCTTCAGTCTTCAAAGAAGTCCGTGACTTGATTTTAAGTCCACCACACCACAACCATAACCATCTTAAGACGAGAGATAATGAACCGTTTATCATTATCAGACAGTAAAAGGATTCAAAGGCTTTTCCAAGGAGAAACACTAGGTGATAGGTCGCCGTCACAGTTTTTACATCACTTTCAAATCTTAGTGGGTGATAACATAGTGGGTAAAGAAGTCCTAAAACAAGAATGAATACAAGCTCTCCCATGCTGCGTCCAACACTGTTTGGATGCACAAGATCCTGAAAATTCATTATCGCATTTAGCGCGCATAGTCGATAGAATAATAAAAAGAGGTCCTCAAACTGGATCACGCACGATAAATCACACACAAAAAGAAGAACTAGCAAAAGACCCAGTCATAGAAGGACTCATTGCGAGTGTGAAAAGTCTCACCGAGACTGTCACCAGAATGCAAATGGGTCAGAGAAACAGGAGCCGGTCACCACAAAGAACAAGACCCAAGTAAAAAAACAGGTCACAACTGTCCAGACAATCTGGGCAGTTCTACTGGTATCATTGGAAGTTTGGCGTCAACTCAACCAAGTGCATGCAACCATGCCCCTGGCCTAAGCAAAATTCCTCAGGTCGCGACCTGGGGAGGGGCGCCTAAACAGTCGCTTGTTTTATGTTGGAGACAGGAACTCTGACTTGAACTTCCTGGTAGATACTTGCGCTGCTCTTAGTATCATCCCTCAAAATAAAACTGAGCCGAGTCGAGAAACACCCACAATTACACTTCAAGCTGCTAATAAAAGACATTTAGGCAGAAAACTTTAACACTAGACTTCGGGTTCAGGAGGCGATTCCCCTGGGTTTTCGCTGTAGCCGATTTAGATCTGACAATACTGGGATGGACTTTCCAGAGAGATACGAATTTCTAGCTGACACTATTAAAAGACGCTTAACACTGAAAGAAACTTCAAATTACACAGAAGGCAAAGAAAGTCACATCACATCTCTTAACTTGATTCAAACTCCTCCAGTAACAACTGCGAAATTCCAAGATATACTCGCGGAATTTCCAAACTTAACTAGACCAAACCCACAGCCTTTCAAAGACAAACTAAAATTAAGTCATACTGTCGAAACCGGAGGTGCACCTGTGTTTGCAAAACCCAGGAGACTAGCACCAGATAAGCTCAAAATCGCCAGGGTCGAATTTGACTGTATGCTACAACCAGGTATTATTTGTCCCCCTGATATTCAATGGCGACATTGCGGGGATTACAGAGCCCTCAACCGTCAAACCGTACCAGATAGGTACCCAATACCACATATCCAAGATTTCACAAACGGTTTACGGGGTATGAACACATTTACTAAAATTGACTTAGTCAGGGCATATCACAGTATCCCGGTGGCTGATGAAGACATCCCCAAGACAGCTATTACTACACCTTTTGGCTTATTTGAGTTTGTACGCATGCCATTTGGCCTGAGAAGTGCGGCACAAACATTTCAAAGATTCATGGATAACCTACTTCGAGATATGCCATTTGCACAGGGGTATACAGACCATTTTTTAATTGCCAGCCCGATTTACAATCGCACGAACAGCATGTACGAGCAGTGTTGAAAAGACTGGTTGAACATGGAATGGATATACATCAAAGTGTGTACTCGATGTTCGAACTCTAGAACTTTTCGGTCACACAATAAGCCCAGAGGGGATTACACCGATCAAAGAAGTGGATACCATCAAACAATACCCCATACCTAGTTCTCTAACACAACTGAGAAGTTTTCTAGGCCTAATTAACTTTTATCGCAGATTCATACCAGGTTGTGCACAATTAATGCAACCTTTGACAGATTCACTTAAAGGAAAACCAAAAGAATTCAAACTGTCTTCTGACGCCATCGAAGCTATTAAACAGCTTAAAGATAAACTGGCTCAAGCAACTACGTTGATATATCCGAATTCTCTTTCCCCACTTGCTTTGATGGTGGATGCTTCAGATAAAGCAGTAGACGGTACCCTTAACCAACTGGTTAAAAACGCCTGGAAACCAATTGCTTTCTTCTCGAAAAGACTCGCTCCAGCCGAAACAAGGTATTCTACCTTCGGGCGAGAACTTCTTGCAGTCTACCTGACCATTAAACACTTCCGACACATGTTAGAAGGTAGAGAATTTATGGTTTTTACGGATCACAAACCACTAACGAATGCATTAAAAGCGAGAGCCGATAAACACTCACTGTAACGGAAAGAGAACAGTAAAAATCCCTCTGCAGCTTCTTTGTTTAACAGTATTTTCATTTATTTGTTCCTTCTCCCTTTTGTGTATTCCAACCCTTGTTTCGATCTCGTTTAACCATGTCTTTTGTTCTCCAGTCTTCCCCGTTTGAGCCTTTATTACGTGATTTTGATTAAAGACTTATTTTTGTTACCTAATTTTCTATTGCATGTTGCCGGACCATTGACAGTAAGGTTGTGTTTGACTAAGCTCAAGGTCACGGCGTGGTTCATTTGTGACTGTTAACCTTCTGACTGTCTGCTTGGGAGAATTGCTGCAATCCCTGCAGATAGATATTTGATCCCATCTTATTGGGAATATTTGTATTGATTCTCAGGTATCAAACCCTTTAGTATTAACTGTCTCTTTCATTGTTTAGCGCGCTACTTTGCGTTAGAGAAACTTCTGACTGTATAGCACAGGCTGTACCGTTTGAGGTATTTTGTATTTTTGATGTAATTTGTTCTGTTTTCTTAATTAGAACCGTTTATATTGAGCACAGAGTTTGTGTTTTGATATAATATAATACGAGTATCTCAAAGACGCGTTGTGGGCTATACAGAGGAACTTGGTCTGGTCTAATCGAATAAATTTAGGGTTCGTCAGTCCGTAGTTCCAACCGAATATTGGCTGTTCGGTCGTTACACTCACCTCGAGAAGTCCGACACCTTGACTATATATCACAGTTCAAAAGCGATATCCGACATGTCAAAGGTCAGGACAATCAGGCGGCAGATGCTTTATCCAGACTAGAAATGAACGTGCTGCAGCAGTCTACAGTAAACTTCGAGACGTTGAGACACGAACAAGAGCAGGGTCTAGAA